GGGGGGGGGGGGTTGTGTGTGTGTGTGTGTGTGTGTATGTAAATCTGTTTGTTTCATATTTGGGGTGTTTATGGGTCTGCCGGTGGGAAATCTACATGGTTCTGTCTCATGGAACTTGGCATCTTTACCAGCAAGGAGAGGGACAAGCTTGTTGTGCTGCTGACAAGTACACGGGACATCTTCGAAGAACTCCAGGCGAGGACGTTGAAGAGCAAGGACATCATTCATCGGTACAAGAAGATAATAAAGAGGACGACAGACGTGTTATGGTATCAAGGCTTCATGGCAAGGTTCTTCACTCACTGGAGGCTGAGAACGACGAGGAAGCATAAGAAACGAGCAGTTGCTGTCTTGTCCCGGGCACAGGAACTGCTGATGCAAGTGCTTTCCGAGCTGGGAAGAGCACGGGCGAACCGAAAAACTCTAGAGGACTCTACGAGTCGGCTTGTGCATGAGCAGTTTCAAGAAGCTAGGAAGACCAGGCAGATGCTTGAGGACATAGACTCCCAGTTCCAAGTACTGCGGTCCCAGGTTCAGACGTGCTACGAGGAACACAGGCGGCCATTCAAGTAGCAGCAACTGCAAAGGGATGGGGTTAACATCTCTGCATCGTGTCCAAATTGACGTTCGACGTCGTCCGTTCTGGTGAGGTGCTCTGCAGGATTACCGTGTAGGTAAGCCGTGGTGGCGATCAGCTTGCGGCATGACAGCCACAACCGATCGGTATTACTCTATAAGCCAGCCATAGCGGCAATGAGCTCGACATGACAGCTAAGACCAATTGGTTTACACCCTGTACCAAATCCACTGAACATCTTATCCGCCTGCTGGAGACCACGTGGATCCTTTTCGTGGGCCATGGTAATGATTGCCTTTCTGACATGACATGACATGACATGACATGACAGCTACCGTGCACTGACCAGCCTGTCTACCCATGAAAGACCTTTGAACCACCATTACACGCCTCACATCGGCTGCGGGCCCCTGTCAGAGGCCGAAACGCGACGCCGGCCACCTATTTATTTTATCGACGATGCGCCGATGCCGACTTTTTCGGACCAGGCAACGGAACATTTTCAGCAAGGCTGGGCCCATGTACTGGCGGTTTAACGCATGACCTGGCTAAGATCCTCCGGCTGGGACGGAATCTGCTTCACTATTTAGAGGAAATTTAGACCAAACTGTGGCTAGCCTGTCCACCTCCAAAAGCCGTTTTATATGATTGCATGGGTCTGACCTGTCAGTCGGGTAGAATCCGCTTCAGTCCATACGACCGGAAGCCTCTTTGCGCGTAGCATTAAACCACCACTACCTTCCGAGCATCTTTTTCCCGACGCGGAAGATACCTGCACGGTGCACGCCAAGATTTGCGGAAGCGCCAGCGCAACGTGTTTTTTTTTTTTTTTTTTTTTTTTTTTTTTCCGCCTGTCACCGCCAGCCATTCTGGTCCGGTAGGACTGTTCTCACCCAAAGAATGGACTGTTCTCACCCAAAGAATGCGGTTCATGGCAAATTGGTGTTTCGAGTTTGCCTGTGAAAGGCGGTGGGGGTAAGAAAGCTACTGCCCTCCCACCATCGTTTCGAGTTCCGCATCCTCACCATGACTTGACAGTATGTTGATCATCCACTGAAGCTTCAACAGACAACCGGGGTGCACTTTGTCCGCCGACTGATAACGAACTAGGCCAAACTGTGTGAGGTGCCAAGGAATGCGATTACCTACGGTGAAATGATCTGACAAATGTGGAGCAATGGGGACCCCTTTACTACATCAAATCACCTGCACCTTTCCTAGGCAATGTGCCTGACACAGCACGTGTGGCAAATTTGGGGGGGTAACTTTGGGGGGCGCAGGGCTGCCTTTGATTTCGTTCGTCAATGGCCCGCAACCACCCGGACGTGGTGCCGCGTGGTGTGCTGCACTAGAAAAAGAAATTTTGCCTGTGAATTGGCATTCCGGAAAAGGACAAGCGAGGGGATATTCATCGCTTACTTGTCGTTTGACAAGTTACCCTTCGCCTCCTTCGGAAGGCAATTATAAAAAAAAAAAGTTGCTTTGGGTGCGGCCGACCCAATAATATCAACTTCACCCACCCTTACTCAGGCCTCCTTTTTCACAAAGCAGTGACCACACTGCAGAAGGCCCAGATTTTCCCCTGCTGGACTGCCAGAGACTGGTATGGTGCCTGGCCTGGTCAGGCTCCACACGTCAGGTGCAGAGGGTGCAGAGGGTGTGGTTTAGTGAAACCCAACCAGCGTAAGATCGGAGGGGATGACATTGGTGGAGGCATACATCGAGTCCTGAGGGTGTGGTTTAATACAACCGTACGAGCAGAAGCCCGGAGGGTATCACGTTGGTGGAGGCGGCATCCATGGTGGCTCTCCATGAGTTTGCATTTTTGTCCATCAAGCATCAACCCAGTTATAAATGTACACCCTGTACACCATTCCTTCACTCGGCCCAACGATAGAGCTGTGCACCCCCAAAAGTAGGTTAAACTGCCATTGTGTCTGAGCATCTTTTTCCAACGCTTGATTTCGCCCACCCCTAGACAGGCAAACTGAGCTACTGGCAGTCCAATGGCCACCGCTAACCCTAGTTAGAGGCAAGGCCCTAGTAAGGCCCTAGTTAGAGGCAAGTGGGTGTGGAAGGGGTGGATGGGAAGGCTATGAACCTGCAAGCAGGGCATTCCGACAGTCCATGGCTGCTGCTGTGCCTAGTTAATGAGCACTAAGGGTAGGGGGAAGTGGGAAGCAGAGGTTGTAGACCTGTGTCAGGCCAGCACCTACTCTATCCGTGACCACTGGAAGATTCTGGTGTGAATGTTTTGGAGGCCGCAGATCGCTGGTCGTATTTGTGGTTTGAGAACAAGGTACTACCTTCTTCCCCCGAACATAACGTATGGTCATTATAGCTGTATTTGGGGGTATCTTTCAGTCTAATACAGCTATAATTACCGTATGTTGTATTCAGGAGAACAAGGTAGTGGGGTATGAACAGAGATTCACTGGCAAATGTTGTTACACACTACGTGCAAGACACTAGAATGCAAGAGGTAGACAAAAAAGAGATTACCCATATCCATTCACCAGCTTTTGACAATTGGGACCATCCTAAGTTTCTAACCATTCGCTAGTTTTTTATGGATTTTTAACAAACCTGCCAAACGGTGTTGAGCACTTTTAAAAGTGTCAAGTGTTGAGCCCTTTTAAAAGCACTGAGTGTGTACACGACGAGTAACTCAAGCTTGCAAAGCTGCAACAGGCACGAGTGGGCGATCAGCGCCTGCTATTGTTGGAGAAGCAGGCCTCTGTCACACACAAAGCACAGATGCCCATTGGAGTGCAGGCGCTCATACTCTGCACCAATCAGACAGCAGCTAACACAGCCCCTCACACAAGCAGCCAACTTAACCCCCTCCCCGCCTCCCCCCCCCCGGGGCCCCCACATTGCAAGTGCGCATGTGCAATCCACCAAAGACTCCGCACTGTTGGCGAAGCGCGACATTCAACAGCAGGTCAGAGCCCATTTGGCTGCAGGCCCTGACACTCTGCAGAGTCTGCACCAATCAGAGTTCCAATTTCCAAATTTGCTCCCACCATTATCAATTTAGTATTGAGCCATATGATCCCATATCTATAATTCTCTACCCATAGTTCTACTATTTGGTCAACCAGTTATAGATGCATTTTTTCGTTTCCCCCTTTTCCCTGGCGATCCATTTCTTCAAAATTATACATTGTTTTGGGATTAGGCTAGAGAATTGAGATTCGTATATTGGTTCATGCCAACCGTCTGTCCCATCTTCTACTTCGTGGTGGTTCTGATCCGCTTGTCTACACACTGGTATACGTCCATGGCCTTTCCTGACATGCACAGTTTTCTACTAGAATGGCTGAACACAGACCTGACGGAAAAGAGTCGAGAGGCTGCACACCCGACGGAAAAGAGTTTGAGAGCCCGCAGACCAGACAGCACAGACTCGAGAGATCACATACCAGACGGAAAAGACTTGAAAGATCAACAGTTAGTACCAAGGAGGAGGTCGAGAGTTCACGGACGGATATGATCTGCCCAAAGAATTCAAAGTGATCTGCTCAGAAACAAGTCACTTTGCTGCAGTTGGCTGGTGGTTGCAGCGGCTGATTACAACTGTTTGGTGATGATACTGCTTTGCTGCAGTATCATCCGCTTCTGGAAGATAGTCAACAGAGTGTCACCACTATTTATTTTGGTTTGGTGGACAGGTATGGGCACATGCTACTCGTACATCCCCGCACATGAGTGCACACATGTGCACACAGAAAATAAAAGAGAACCACATGTACAGGTGCAGTACAGAGAGAGAGAGAGAGAGAGAGAGAGAGAGAGAGAGAGAGAGAGAGAGAGAGAGAGAGAGAGAGAGAGAGAGAGAGAGAGAGACGAAGGCATACTGCCTGCTTTTGAGGATGGTGCTGCTGTTTGCACTACGAGGTGCTCTGTGCCTCTGTCTCGCATTCAGCATGCTAATCATCTCCTCTGGCTGTTGTTTGGAATTTCAGACAATACTTTGTTGTAGTAGTTTAAACTTTAAATCTTCACTGCCGCTGGGCACCCATGACAAACAGAGGATTTTGACAAGTGGTACATCTCGTACTGCGATGACGATCCGATTTTCGGAGGCCCAGTTTGAGGCAGTAATTCTTAAGATCGATAGTAATTGAAGTGCGCAGTTTTCTGCGTAACTCTCTGAAATCGTGATGCAAGTTTTGCACCTCTCGTGCAGTTACATGACTTGCATTGCCGCATGGGTTGCGTCCACAAATTCTCTACAAATACCTCAGGCCATTCATTTCCTGTGAAGTAGGGTGTTGATAAGACCGTGTGTGCATGGGTTGCGTCCACAAATTCTCTACAACTACCTCTATAATAGATAGAGAATAGAGAATAGTGGAGAACCACTGGACTTACCTTTCTTACCGGATAAGAATAGATAGTACTCGGTACTGGGTATCGTAATTAGTAAGACTTATTAAGTGTTGTTGTTACAGATGTGTAGGTGCATTAACCTACACCGGCCTTCTTCCCCTGAATACAACGTATGGTGTATTTGGGGTATTTTTCAGTCTAAATAGTAAATACAGCTATAATAACCGTACGTGGCATTCGGGGGAGGAAGGTAGTTTAGCAGGGAGGGACTGTGGCTGTGACACACTTTTAGTTTGAAATAGGCAAAAAAAGACAAAGTGACGCTGGTGTCATGGTGTGAGTTTCGAATTGTGCAAGTTTAGCGGGGTTGGGGGTCTAAAACTGCCCCAGTCATTCATTACCCGCAGTGGAGCTTGGCAGATTTAGAGAGGTCGCCTGTTTTTGCTCCATCAAAATCTCGGGAACTGCTGAAATTGCCTATTCTGAACATTGGGTGTCATTCCAAAGTTCCAAACTACTTGCCCCTTCTTTTTTTTATGGCGAAGTGACAATAATCGCGTAAAAGTTCGTAAAACGGTGAAAGTTCTTTTTTTTTTTGAATTCAGTAAATGGAGGCTACGCTGTAGCAATTGCAGGTCATATAGCTTTTCTTCCTAAGAGTCTTCAAAAAAGCCAAAAAGTATAGATCGTACTGGATATAGAAATTAATTGAATTCGTAGACTGCCGCATTTGTTTAA